TTCTTCTTCTTCTTCTTCTTCTTCTTCTTCTTCTTCTATGTCCCTTCAGGACGTGAACTATCATTGCTTTCCACAACTTCCTACTTTTGTAGCTATTAGCAATATATGTAATTTTACTATCCTACCTAGTCCTTGTTCTGTCATCGATTTATATGAGCTTGTTAGGTAGGTTGATTATTGCTCTCCACAGCTTCCTGTCTTTATAACTCTTAGCAATATATGTAATTTTACTATCCTATCCAGTAATTGTTGTCATCCATTTACACATGGTTGTTAGGTAGCTTACTTGCTATTTCCCTCTACCCCTCTTTGGCTTCAGTATGTCTTGTGAGTGTCACATTCTCCAAACGTTTTTCCTTATTTTATTTTGCAGAAATTTTAGTTATCACTATTTTCCTTAAAACCTCTTCGTTTCTTCATGATATTCTTATTATTCTTCTATGGAACCATATCTCTTTTCCTTGAAGTTTCTTCTTCATCTGTGTATGGTGCCTCACCTGTCCGGATAGCACCTCGATGAAAGGCTGGTGCCAAATGGCCTGGTTAATCGTTTCGCCTTCCCAACTGTTTTGGGACTGGGGGTCAATATTCTTGTGTAACAAAAACACATCTGATTATACATTCCGTTTATCAACATATATCGTGACTGTTGATTTAAGATGGAATGATATATTGTACAGATTGTATTCTGTTGGTGTCCGCAAATATTACTCACGAAATGGAAGTCTATCTTGACAAGTTTGACAGACTCTATCATCTCTTTATACTCGTCATGTTTCCCAGTGGTGATGATTTGTTCCACGAAGATAGTCCAACCTCCCATTATGAAACTGGTTCCAGAAACACTCACCTAACTTCCGCCCCCCCACTTCAATTCTTTGTGCTCCTCATCTGAGCCGGTGCAAAAGTCTATGATACGACCCTAACTCCCACTACATGTCAATTTTTATAAGGTAGAATTCATATAAAATACAAATGTTATTCTAACTTAATTATGTACAATAATAGATCATATAGGTGAACAGATCAATTAGAAGAATGAAAAATAAATACAATGTATCTAAATGCATATTAGAGACATGTCATAAATGCATGTAAATGCATATTAGAGACATGTCATAAATGCATGTAAATGCATATTAGAGACATGTCATAAATGCATGTAAATGCATATTAGAGACATATCATTCCATCTTAAATCAACAATGTTTTGTGGCAATTTTTAACATCAACTTGAAATTTTTTTCTTGTTAAAAAGCTGAATAATTTTAACACATTTAAGATTATGGATAAAATAGTGATTTTTATATCACGATATAAAATTTTATAGAGATTTAGCATGAGCAAAATAAATTCACGGATTGAAACGAAAAACAAAACAGTATTACGTCAAAATCCTTGAAAATTTTTATTAGTCAGTTGTGTTTAGTTTAATTTGTAACGGATATAAATGTACGTAGAAAAAAATTGTTGATAAGATAGTAAGGGTCACAAATCCTGGGGCCATCAATCAGGTTTGTTCCACTTGTGGGTTCCGGTGTAGTACCCATGTATCCTACACTAAATTCCCTGCAGCTACACCCAGCAAAAATAACTCCGTTATTGACAGCCCTTGAATGTACCTGGACAGATTTACCCACGCAGCTTCACCATCACCTCATAAATTGTGTTGTTCTTTCAAGGAGAAGACATACAGCTCATTAGACAGCTGTTGTCTAAGTTTTTGGCATTGTATTTTAAATTCATAGCATTATTATCAAGTCGTCAATTATTTTCATAGCTTTCTATGCTCGTAAGCCACCTTTCCATCATGAAGGAATGGTTCGACTTTTGGTTCGATAAATTCTCTGAGGAATTTTTAATATTCTGCTTCTAAGGATCGCTGGTTATACAGGTAATGTTTCATGAAGCAAAACCAGATTGAAAGTTTGGAAACTACTTCTCATATTCATGTACACCCCATCCTAACTCAATGATTAGGATAAAGGTTTACTGAGCGCCTATGGATTCTGTTGGTGTCCGCAAATTTATAGAAAATGAATCATAATAAATAATTTCCCTGGAATAAATACGTAGCAGATTTTTCAAATGTGTGGCGTCAAAAGCGTCACTGGATTTTGCGAATGTTTTTTTCTTTGTTTGTTTGGATACTGAATAAACAATGAAAAAACTAATAAGATAATCCCTAACAGTGGGCACAATAAATCTGAGCAACATAGAAAATCTGAATAAGCTTTAAAGGTTTTGTAAAAGGCAGATAGGCAAGACTATCGTTATAAGGCTTGTTCATCAACGCTCGTAAGTATGGACTTCATTTGATACATACTTTTGACAAATATAGCTTGACAAGAATCTACTCAAGGTGCTCATGAACCATCACAGACTCCATTTGTGTTGAGTTCTTTGTGGAAATTTTAAGCGGAGTGACTTGGGACTGAATTTATTTTTGAAAACCGAAATAATTTTATAGTGAAATTTCTGTTCGTTTTAATGCCTGAAAAGATGTTCCAATATATATATATATATATATATATATATATATATATATATATATATATATAATGAAAAATTTAACACATCTCTAAAAATCCGATAATAAATTTCAATAGGTATTTTTTTTAATGCCTGCCTCATCAGACCGAATTTACAAAATACATTGGTGTATGATACATTGGAATCAAAATTTATATCATCACCATTTGATTTACATCATATATATATTGGACAGGTACCTGGTCAGTCGAGAAATTGTAGAGATTGTAAACACAACACTCGAATCAAGAAATTCTTCAATTCTTGCTGACAAACAAGCGAAGGAGGAGAAACTCAAAATCGAGAGCAAAAAATGTTGGAAAGTTTTCGAAACAAAATAACGTAGAGAAAGGAAATATATTTAGCAAAAAAAAAAAAAAGATTAAGACGCCCCATCGTCTCGGTAGAATGAAATGGCGTCTAATCAGTGACGAGCAATTAGCAAGTAAGATGATAGACTTATACAACAGGTGTCAAAAACGCCAGGTATTTTCTATATACATGAATAAGTGAGCGTATGTTGGTCGACGCGAGCTGGCACGTCAGTCTTGCAAACTGAATGCCAGAGTATAGAGTTCGATCCGCACTTGATGTTTGCTCCTATTGTGTCATGGAATAAACTTTATAACATTCACTTGAACGATTAGAAGAACTTCAATTTACAAAGAGTGCGAGTGAGTAAGAGAGAAAGAGAGAGAAAGAGAGAGAGAGAGAAAGAGAGAGAGAGAGAAAGAGAGAGAGAGAGAGAGAGGTTGTTTGGATTATTTGTAAGTAATTTAACCATTTGAGCTCTGACCACTGCTTTAACAGTGGTAGAGAAAAATGAATTAAATGCCCAGCCACCGGCTGAACGGTGGGTAAACACTTGTAACTATTTTTATATCTACCGTGAAACATTACATACCAATTATCTGCGAATTTTGACTCAGAAGCTCAAGTAGAATGGTTATAATTGTTCAGGAACGCAGGGTTCAAAGGGTTAATGCTGAAATTTAATTTTCATGGGGGCATTAGTAATGTCTTTTACAAAAATTTATTGCTGGTAATATTTTTTTGTCAAAAATGTATTGCTGGTAACGTTTTTTTATTTTTTTTTTACAAAAATGTTCTGCTGGTAATACATTTTTACTATGAAAATGTTTTGCTGGTAATACATTTTTGATTATGAAAATGTATTTTTATACTTTCATAGTGTTTTGACCCAGAGGTTAACTATTTGCCCATAGCTGGGACCCTAACAAATGCTACCATCTTGAGTCAGGAAGGACTTGGGAACAAAAGAATTTTAAGAGGTGGTTCCATGCCCCTCAAAATCTCCCGATCAGAGACCTTACTGTCGGATAGGATTTATCACACCCAAGACGCGAGAGAGATGTAAAGAGAACCTGCAATTTACTATTTAAAAGACCGAGAGAGAGAGAGATAGGGAGAGGGATAATAGAAAGAGACTGTGTATATTGGTGTTTCCCAGTGAAATAATGCTGAAGAAGATCAATATTTGGAACAATGTCGTCATCGTCGCTTTTAATACTATGAGCTATGTAAATACGTCTAGACAGAATGCCGCCCCACACCAAAAATATATATATATATATATATATATATATATATATATATATATATATATATATCACTTCTGATCCATACCTGAAAGTGAATTAAACACTTTCCGCAAAAAAGAATAAATATATAAATTAACGCTTCTTTGCGATAATTGCCTTCAATTAAAAAACAAATTTCCGCACAAAAATTGTGTCCCCATATTATGAGTGCAAAGCATTTGAAAGATTCTTTCTTCTGATAAGTTTGAATGTTTCAACAAAAAACGTCAAATGACGCATCTTTCGAAGTCTTCAGAATCCTAAGCACTGTCACTTTTTTTCTATCAAAAATATATTGGAACTTTTGAAAAGGACATGACATGCAAATAATTTCCTGCGTCGATGCACCGATGCATCGATTTTAGCCTGTTCTTTTCGACCTATTTATCTACACACACACCACACAGAGAGAGAGAGAGAGAGAGAGAGAGAAAGAGAGAGAGAGAGAGAGTGAATTTCCGTCCCAACCTGTAATCTTCAATAAAATTTAACTATTATTTTACATCTATCTATCTATCTATCTATCTATCTATCTATCTATCTATCTATCTATCTATCTATCTATCTCACTCTGTTCATATTTATCGCGACACGCACATAAATACACACACACACAATATATATAGAGAGAGAGAGAGTGAGCGAGAGAGAGAGTCAGAGAGAGAGGATGACAGACAGACAGAGAAACAGACATACAGACAGAAAGAGAGTAAGAAAGAGAGAGAGAGAAAGAGGAGGGGATCTTCCGCTTAACATCGTATTGCGTGCGCCCGCGTGTTTATATTTATAAGTTGCGCCATAAAACCGTGTGAGTTACTAAGCCCCACAAGTTTAACACATTTGCTCATGTTGGGGACCCGAAAGCTACCCCAAGTAACAGAAGTTCCCCATCACTTCCATTGGCATTGCATTCTGCTGATTGATTGGGAGAAAAAGAAAAAGCGGAGGAGGGAGAGTCAACAATTATACCCGGGGTAGTCAACCTCAGCGTCACAGAAGGGAAAAAAAACAAACTTAAAGGATGGCATGTTGGGGCAGGGGTCGCATTCGACAGAACATTGAGCAGCTGCAAAACAAAAGTCGGAGGATTTGTAGCGGCAAACGAGAATGTTCTTCGCTCTTCGAGGGTAGTGGTTCACACAATAGTTGCGCTCAATCAGAACATATTCACACGTTCTACCTGGATTGACAGCAGCCTTCTGCTACCGCTTTTGCTACCATCGGCAGTTCTATCTCCTATATATATATATATATATATATATATATATATATATATATATATATATATACGCTGAAACTTTATCTGTGTAACACACTTTTCATATATATATATATATATATAATTATTTATTTAAAAAATTATACCATAAATATGTTATAAAATCACTACAAAAATAGCCATTTTTCCATTTATTTTACATTCAACATCATCACTTGATAAGACACCGGAAGTGTTGAAACAAAATGGCTATTTTGTAGTGATTTTATAACATATTTATGGTATAATTTTTTAAAATAAATAATTATATCTGCTCTACTCTGCATTGAGCACTCTTTTAAGAATAGTAATTGTTGGTTATTGGAATTCATTCCGTATACACCAATTATATATTTATATATATATATATATATATATATATATATATATATATATATATATATATATATAATATAATATATAAATATAGATCTGAAGATAGCACTAGAGTGTGTAACCGACAGTTACTCTGCAGTATTGATTCATATATCCATGTAAACGATCCCATATTGAGCATTCTTTTCCTATAAATATGATAAATTTACACAATGTCTATATACATATATATATATATGTGTGTGTGTGTGTGTGTGTGTGTGTGTGTGTGTGTATACATACATACATATATATATACATAGTTCACTAGTTCCACGAAAAACTTGCCAATGATGAGTTAAGAAAAACTCGACCTATACTGCTTGTACTTTTCTTCCAAAATTAACTTCTTTTTCTCCTCAATAAATTAATCGAATTATAACATATGTCGTTTTTAATAATATTTGACTCCTAAATATATATATATATATATATATATATATATATATATATATATATATATATATATATATGAGCTACTCTATGTGCAATATATATATGAGCTACTCTATGTGCAATATATCTACATCCTATTCTTTTAAAATTGCCGCAATAAAATTTCTTCTCCCCACTAATTTGATTTTGATTTTGCCTAAATTAAACCTTATCACTAAATGAATCGTTTAGTAACATCTCAGACCATCAAGAGAAGTATTTTACATTTCTCTTAGATGATATGACATCGTTTACAAATATAAATAAAAACAGATACAAAAGAATTTTGATGTAAATATAGTAGATGAGCCAGCAAACAATTAATTCGTGCAATGTTGCCTCATGTGTTTGTTTATTTCATTTGCGTCATATTGTAAAGATGAATGCTTAAATGAATGCTAAAATATATAAAAAAAAATCACATACATCACACCTCGCCTACGTGTATATTACAACATTCACTAGTTCCACGAAACTCAATAATTGTCTCTACCGACGCTGATGACGACTTAAGAAAGTCGAAAACTTGGTCCATATTCCTTGTAATTTTCTTCAGACATGAACTTTGGACGCATTCTGACCAAATTCCACCCACCCTTGTCTGAGAATAAAGAATATGGATAAGAATATGAGAGTAAAGAATATGGAAAAGTCGATCAGTAAAATTAATCGACGCAAAATATCTGTTGTTTTTTAATATCTCTAGTTTCCTGTTTAGGATTGGGTTTCTGGTTCCTTCTAAAGTCTCCTCATTCTCTTTCACTCCCAATAACTCCTTGCGTCTTAGTGGCATTATCATCTTAGCAGCCATAACTATGCTATTTACTGTAGATCTTGAAAGAAACTTCCAGAAAATGATTTAAAATAGGATTGGAGTAAACATAGATGGAGAATATTTAAACCAATTACTCTTTCCATTGTATTTTGTGCGTTTGTGAGTTTGTGCGTTTTCAATAATTTTATTAATTTCCAAGTCTCCCCACCAAAAGTCACATACAGTTTCCGCTGTACGCGTCTATTGGCGAAGGGTTTTTCATTATGTCTGTCTTTATTAAAGGCTTTCAATCTTTATCCTATGCTATTTTATTTCATTTCTCTCGCCTTTAATATTATTACTGTTCAAAATATATTTGTTCTTGAATTTCTTTCACTTCTTCAATATATTTTTTAAATGTTACAATTGTACACTAATTTAGTTTTATTTCCATTACATTTTAAATCTACACTGAGACTTTCTTTATTTAGGTCATTTAGTATTTCTTATAATTCGCCCAATGATACTGATATTAGTAAAAGGACATCAGTAAATTGTAATTGGTTTAAATATTCTCCATCTATGTTTACTCCAATCCTGTTTTAAATCATTTTCTGGAAGTTTCCTTCAAGATCTACAGTAAATATTTTAGGTAAAATTATCTCACACATTTTCCCGCCTTTATTTTACCTGTATCTTTATATTGTTGAGTTATTGCAGTAATGTTATCATATTGATGATCGATAACTCTTATAAGAAGAATACTGTTCTAGAAGTGTGTTAAAGATTGCCAAGTTTTCTACTGAATCACATACCTTTTCATAATCAACAAACACTAAACAATGTGCTTTGTTAAACCGATAGTAGGTACACGCACTTCATCAATACGTAACTGTAAAATATATTACAGTGTATAATCTAATCATGAACTTTATATTTTACATTTGATCTTTGTTTTAAAAGAATTACTCTGATATTATTGCCCTGGTTGAGATTAGCGAATTTTAAATTGTCCCCAATGTTCAGTGTTTAAATGCGAGCGAAAATCAGCATTGTATTTTTCGATGAATAAGACTCACTCTTTATTTCAAAATTTGATGTTAATATGTGTTTTGCTTCCTCTAGACAGAAATTATGAGTAAAAGAATTATAAACGCAATATCTGAACAAAAAAAGAAACAAATGGCAAGATTCTGAAAATAAATTCAATGAATAGATTGGACATGAGAGAAAGGAAGGAATATTTATTTCTATAAATATGATCATTTTTAAAGCATAGCGGATTCTACATGATGATAAGGGAGAATATTTTTTACTGATCTTATATCTTGGCTTTATCGCTTCATGAAACGCAAACGTCTATTTATAAGAACCAAAACTGTACACTATATTGTTCAGTTTATTTCGTCCACTTGGGTAGATTGTTCTAGTTCCACGTGCCATGCCTTTTCTGGATATCTCAATGTCAATTATTTCCCTTTAGTAACTCAACTTTCCAAGTTTTTGTTCACCTCTGCTGTGGCCAGGGATTGAACTCACAACTCTTTGAGTCAAGTCACTGGATCACTTCAACACTTTTATTCAATCAGGGAATGAATTATGGGGATTTATAAACTTAATGTCTCAGTAATCATTTTTTACCAGAACTCATATTACATTTTTTTTTTTTTTTGTTATGGTTGTTTTTCTCTAGCACTCCGTATTACTGGTACCCTTATTGTATTCATGTCTATGCTTGGCCAGCTTAGAAGACTTTTATCGCATAGTTACTAAAGGGAAATAAATGAAATATGCAGAAAATACGTGGATTAAAATAAAGGATTCGTTTCGAAACATACATCAACTGAAGAAGGCCGAAACGTCGTAAATATGATAATAATGGTGAGGACAACAGTTCGAACAATGTAAAGTGTATAAATAGTTACAATACCTCATGGACAGATAAAATAGAGTTTGTATTGAACCTTGTTGCTTGAAATCAATCAATAAAACCTATCGAATTTTTTATATACCTAATGAGCGAAATAAATTCTGTTGAAAAGGATGTGGAAATTGAAAACCTGGGCCGCCTTGAATAAAATGGATGCAATCTAGAAATCGGATCTACCAGACAAAGTACAGTTTCTTTTGTGCCACTTTAGAGTCGCTTTTAATGCTATGGTGTCACTGCTTGGATATAAAACCCTTGAGTCTAAGCTTGATGGAACCTACATTCGGATGGCGAGAGCTATATTTTGAATTTCTTGGAGAGAACATCCAACTACATCACAGCTCTGTGATGAACACATCTTGATATTTCTTCAATCTTACGTGAACGCAGAATACGCTTTGCAGGACACTGATGAGCAAAACAAGAAGAAGCGAGTGATCTACTGCTCTGGACAGCTACGGTTGACCGCCCAGCAACCACTAATATTGACTATGTTATGACACAGAACGCCACCTTCTGACGATGATGCAGGACGGTGAGGGTTGGTGTAGATAGACGCATGAATGTCTGAGCTAGCTCGACCGATTAAATATGATAAAACTGGACAAAGAAAAAAAAAACCGACGCTTACTCAGTTGGGCGTATGGATAAAACATTTGTGGGGAAAAAAAAAAGAAGTTATATTATGATTAAGTCATTTAAAAAGTGTGGTATCATTAACGCAACGGATCAAACCGAGTATGGCATTTTCTTTGATCAGCATATTGGGTCCACTCATGAAATTTTCGATTCCTTCTCAACTGATAGTGACAACAATAAGAGATATATGTTTTCAACTAAAATTTTTCTTTTATCTTGTTTTTGATGTCTTTCAGATGGCATTTTTAATAAACTGATTTTTTTTTTCAAATATGGCTGTATTTATTTTACAAAACCTTATCTTCAAAAAATAAGGGTACGTCTTATACACTGGTACGTCTTATTTTAAAAAAAAATAAGGGTGCGTCTTATACACGGTTGTGTCTTAGTTTCCGAAAAATACAGTATATGAAATGCTGATTTTCAATGCAGATGCTTTTCTCTGAACGGTTTAGCGCTATACAATCTTTCAATGT